CCCTGCGGTGACAACGTGACCTCTTTCATGTCACGAGAATACATCTAAACATTACAAATTAGTATATCAACGAATATTTTGGCCTCCTCTTATTTCTTAAACCGTATTAAAATATATTTCGCAAAATAGTAATTTTAGGAGAGTTACTATTTTGCGAAATGGACTATTTTCACCCTGAGGTGACAACGTGACCTTTTTCATGTCACAAAAATACACTTAAACATTACAAACTAGTATATCACCGAACATTTTGGCCTCCTGTTATTTCTTAAACCGTATTAAAATGTATTTCGCAAAATAGTAATTTTAGGAGAGTTACTATTTTGCGAAATGGACTATTTTCACCCCTGCGGTGACAACGTGACCTCTTTCACGTCACGAAAATACATTTAAACATAACAAATTAGTATATCACCGAACATTTTGGCCTCCTTTTATTTCTTAAACCGTATTAAAATGTATTTCGCAAAATAGTAATTTTAGGAGAGTTACTATTTTGCGAAATGGACTATTTTCACCCCTGCGGTGACAACGTGACCTCTTTCATGTCACAAAAATACATTTAAACATTACAAATTAGTATATCACCGAACATCTTGGCCTCCTCTTATTTCTTAAACCGTTTCAAAACTTATTTCGCAAAATAGTAATTTTAGGAGAGTTACTATTTTGCGAAATGGACTATTTTTACCCCTCAATAACTTTCTTTTCGGGTCACAAAAATACGCTTAAACATTTCATTATAGTATATTCTCGAAGGGTTCGGTCACCTCCTCTTTCTCTATCCAGATATAATTAATTTCTCAAAGTAGTAATGTCAGAAAAATTACTGTTTTGCGTAATAGCTAGGCTATTTTCACTCAGCGGTAACGATGTCGTTACTTCTCGTGTCATACAATAGGTTTTCGGTAAGTTTCAATTTAAAGCACTATCAAATCTCAAAAGGTCTAAGCTATCTTCACCTATATAAACGTCTTCTAAATTTATTTCGCGAGGCAGTAATTTTGGAAGAATTACTGTTTTGCAAAATGGACCATAAATGATTTAAATGCCGCCTGAGAAAACTGACTCGTGACAGATTGGGTTTACAGGTCTCACCTTTCCTTGTACGTAAGTGTTTTAATTTGCTGTGGTCTGTACTTCTTCACTGCCAAGCAACAAGGCGGTGTTTTCCTTTCCTCAGCTTCAAATGATTAAGTAAGAGCCAATTAATAACTCCATCTCAATAAACATGCAACAAGAGGTTTGGGCTAACAGGTTCATTTAATCAAAATCGACAATCGACCGTATTGCGTGACGCCGAAACCAAGTCAAGAGAACCCTGCTGAAGGCCCAAACCGAGGTTGTGTCCAATTAATGACATGGGAGGGAGCGGAAAGTAAGAGGTAAAAGCTGTTTTTACCAGCGACGGAGCTATTCTAGGGGGAAGTTGGCATGTTCTCCTGAGAGATTTGAAAGACTCGTTTCGTGCGTTTTGAAGGGTGTGCACTGTTTCGGTGCAAAACCAACATGACAGTTTTCCAGTGGCGGCTAAACATGTTTAGACTCTCCGTCTCGTATAGAGAACAGAAGCATACCCATGCCTAAATAGTCGTCCAGCAGTTTTATAATCGCAAGTAATACAGTTACTTTGCTTCAAAATTTTTAATAAAAATAATATACATGGAAAAGTTACGCGCTTCTGATCACACCCCCGTCGCACACCTCTTCCTTACGAGCAAGAGATCGTGTTTCGCATTTGCGCAAGTTCCACGTGCTGCAAGAAGTTCGCTTTGTGCTCGCTTTGTGTGCTGCTAAATCAGGCAAGATTATGGCTTTTAAATTTCCTGTTCTTAAGCCCAAGACCATCGACTGTTCAGGTCTTCCAGTTCATGATTTCAGGTGTTTGACAAACAAGGAAATCATTGGTAAGGGCGCTTATGGTGCTGTGTTCACTGCTAACTGGCAGACTGTTCCTGATGCGGGTGGGAAATCGGCCGCTGCGGAGAAAGTCGTCGTTAAGAAATTGCTTGGCGAGGACATAGTGGATAAGAAAACGTTTGTAAGGGAAGCAAGAATCATTCAAGAGTTGAAACATCCAAACATTGTGAAGTTCAAGGGAATCTGCAACAATCCCTTCGCCCTTATTCTCGAGTTCCCGCCCGCCGAGTGTAAATAATCCATTTCGCAAAATAAACATTTTTCGGAATGACTACATTCAATTAGTTTAGAAATTATTACATTAAAGAGGAGGTGACCAAGATCTTTGAGAATATACTATAATGTAATGTTTAAATGTATTTTCGTGACATGAAAGAGGTCAAGCAAAATAGCAACTCTCCTAAAATTACTATTTTGCGAAATATATTTTAATACGGTTTAAGAAATGAGAGGAGGCCAAAATGTTCGGTGATATACTAATTTGTAATGTTTAAATGTATTTCCGTGACGTGAAAGAGGTCACGTTGTCACCGCAGGGTGAAAATAGTCCATTTCGCAAAATAGTAACTCTCCTAAAATTACTATTTTGCGAAACGAATAAAAATCCTTCTTGTTAATGAACGATTACTCCAAAATCCTTGTGAAAGTTATCTTTACCTTATTAGAAAATATATCTGCATTATTTCTTTTGTTTTATTTCATTTCAGAGGTTACGTTAGTCACCGCTGAGTAAAAATTGTCCATTTCGCAAAATAGTAACTCTCCTAAAATTACTATTTTGCGAAATATATTTTAATACGGTTTAAGAAATAAGAGGCCAAAATGTTCGGTGATATACTAATTTGTAATGTTTAAATGTATTTTTGTGACATGGAAGAGGTCACGTTGTCACCGCAGGGTGAAAAATTCCATTTCGCAAAATAGTAACGCTCCTAAAATTACTATTTTGCGAAATGAATAAAAATCCTTCTTGTTAATGAACGATTACTCCAAATTCCTTGTGAAAGTTTTCTTTACCTTGTTAGAAATTATATCTGCATTATTTCTTTAGTTTTGTTCTATCTCACCTGATTTCGTTTCGTTTCGTTTCGTTTCGTTTCGTTTCGCAAAATAGTATAAGCCTAATAGCAGCGATGCCTTCAAACAAGGCCCCAGGGATAGACAAAATCCCGATTCGTGTCATCAAGGATTGTCTTAATCCAATTGTTCACCCAATAACGTCTATCGTTAATGCATCCTTTCAAAACTGTGTTTTTCCATCAAAATGGAAGACAGCTGTGGTTACACCAATCCCAAAAGAGGGCGACCAGGAACAGGCAAACAATAATAGACCCATCTCACTTACACCAGTCTTATCAAAAGTTTGCGAAAGGGTAGTACATAATCAGCTCACCTCGTATCTGCAATCGAATGACACCCTATCAAAGAGCCAAAGCGGTAACAAGAGATGGCATTCGTGTGAAACGTCTGTGATTGAAACAACTGACACAATTCTTAACGCGATTGACAAAAAGAAGTTAACGGCAGTTGTCCTATTAGATATGAGCAAAGCTTTCGATAGCGTCAATCACGACACGTTAATTTTAAAATTGCAAGATGTCGGAATTTCCAGAGACACTCTCCAATGGTTTCGTAGTTACCTAAGCAACAGGACACAAGTAGTACGAATCCATTCAACGCTATCTGAGCCTTTGTCCGTGACCAACGGCGTCCCTCAAGGAAGTATCTTAGGCCCACTACTATTTAGCATATATACGAACGATCTTCCATCGATCCCACAGAAATGCAGCACTCAGAGTTATGTAGATGATACGAAACTCATCACTTCCTTCGAACTTAAAGACAACCTGGATGCAATTGCTGATTTGGAAGACGACTTGTTTAAAATAGGAGAATGGTGTTCCAACAACCAATTGTTACTTAACCCTGGCAAAACCAAGCTGATGATATTTGGCAGCAGGCAGATGCGTGCAAAATTGCAATTTCGCTCCCTTTCCATTATGGGTGAGGACATCGTCCCCGCAGACACCGCCAAAGACCTTAGTGTGATTTTGGATTCTAATTTAACTTACGATGAACACATAATTAAGACCGTTTCCTCGTGCATGTCCCGCCTCGGCCAAATAAACCGTGTCAAGCATGTTTTCGACAAACGTACACTTTTGATGATTATTAATTCCTTAGTTTTCAGCAGGTTATTTTATTGCTCCAATGTTTGGTCAAATACCTCAAAATGTAATGTTGACAAGTTACAGGCGGTGCAGAACTTCGCATGCCGCATTGTTAGCGGTGCGCGTAAATTTGACCACGTTACACCAATTCGCAAGGAACTAAATTGGCTTTCAGTTCAAAGCCAGCTTTACTACCGGAACGCTACTATGGCCTTCAGATGCATGACTGGTCAGGCTCCAGATTACCTCTCATCAAAATTCATAAAGCGAGCCGAGGTTAGTCGACGTAGCACCAGAAATTCGCAGCTTTTGCAAATTCCATTCTTTAGAACAGCTAGCGGTCAGAGAACATTTTTCTATAGAACTGTAAACTTATGGAACTCTTTGGATAATTCCTTTAAACTGTGCAACTCCGTTAAGGTTTTTAAAAAACGTTTAAGGACCAAATTACTCAAAGAGTTGTAATTTTATATATTTGTATGCTTTTATTTTTCTTTTAGAACATTCAGATTTTAAAACATCTTTAATTGTAAATAGGATTTTTTAATTGTAATAGGATTATTTTTATAACATTGTCTTTGAAAAGCCCCCTTGGGGAAAGTCAATAAAGTATGTTGTTATGTTGTTGTTGTTGTTGTCTATATTTCTTGCAGGAAACTGAAATAAGCTAGAAATAGAGCCAACTTTGCAGAGAGATACTTAACACTACAAGTACAATGATAAATAAGTAAATTACTCACTTTTTTGTTCATTACAAACAACTTTATCGACAATGACCACAGCAATTCGGAGCCCTAGCAACACACCAATCGTTTGGGTTGCCAGAAAGGTGAATGATTTCCTCAAGGATACAGTCCACAGCGATCGCGTACGTAAGAGCCGTCGTTGCAGCGATCAACTGGTCAGCGGTGAAATTCATCGGCATTTGGTAAACAAACATGGCGGATCGGCAGTTGTGGTTGCAACGGCCGCTTGCTTCACAAAAAATGCGAAGTGTGTCCAGGGCATCCTTTACTTTGTAGCGGAGGACTTTGTTACGGATTTTTTTTATTAACTTTGCAAGAAAGAGTGATGCTTGGACAGAATGGGCGCGAAGCGAACAAGAAGAATAACCATCTGGCAAACCTTGCCCCTGAAGAATTTCACACGTGTTTATTTTCGACCCATGCCAGATTGTGATATTTCTCGCCGACTTTGAAGTGACCACAGCTTTTCAATACGATCAAAGCAAAAGTCCCACCAGATTTGAATTTGGAAGCGTCTGTTCGCGGTGTGACATTCATATCTCCACGTGTTTTACCGTGATCGTCCTTGGCGTCCGTTTTAACTTTCAGTCTCGTCCTGTTCAGCTGAGTTCTGTTTAGTTTTGATTTCCGAAAATGCCAAAGCACAGGTACGTTGTTGTTGACTGGGGATCGTGGGGAGTGGAGGCGCAGAGTTCCTCGAAGATCATCGTTCGTGATCCCTTCAATGTGAGAGAAGGAGATAAATGTTCACTGCAAGGAACAGATCCAGCGACAAAGAGACCCATGTTGTTTCAGGGACATGTTCTTGCAGTATTTGGTGAGTTTATACACCCAGTATTTTTCTCAATTACATTGATTTTCGTTTTGAAGTGCTACAAATGCTTGGTAAACCCGTTTTCTTTCGAATTCCTTGGTTTGATCTTCACATCACTGCTCGTTAAAACATAAATCTCAAGAATTTTGACTTCAAACAGGTTTTCGATTTTGACGGTTCTTTTCATTCTTAGCTTTATGTCTATGCTCTCTTGTTAATATCTTTTTCATGTCAAAACTATAGTCAGGAGACATTGGTCAAGTTAATAGAGGATGCTACCGATGCAAAGTCAGCTGTGGAGGCACTAGCAAGGCAGCTGTTCTCAAGTGAGGAACTGCAGAATTCATCAGTCGCTGGCTTTCAGTGCAATAAAGATTATGAAGCAAGACCAGGCCTGAGTCCATCAAGGTGGAGCCTTTTAGAAAGTGAGTTAATTTTTAAAGGTGTATTTCTTTAATTATTTATATACACCTATATGTGCTCACTGTTTTTGGTTTTGTGTCACAGGTCTTGGCTGCATTTCCTTGACTTTTGTTTAAAAAATATATGCATTAGACATTGATGGAAGCTGAAAGAAAAGTTCTCATCATTATGGTCACATGTCAAAATACTGCACATACATACTGTCATACTACATGCTGTCAAATGGTCAACATTTCCAACTACATTTGCACTTCAAATAACATAGGCAAACCAGCTTACATGTATGTGTTTACAGCCTTTTTGCCACTCAATTAAAATTACCTGAAGATTCATTTGGGAGGGTGCAGTTCATAGATTGTGCCATTTGGCGCGTGGAATGGAGTGCAAGGGAGTATCTACAAACAGAACAATTGCAGCCTCCTGAATGAATCAGCACATAATATGAATTGGGTGGCAACAAGGATGCACACATGTAAGCTGACTGCATCTATTTACTGGTTTAAATTCAGCAATTAAAAATTCAGTAATGAACATATGATTAAAAATAATTCAAGTTCTTTCAGGAAGAGTTCCCCTGTATAATTTATGTTTTTCACTATACAGTTTCAAATGTAACATGCTTTTTACTTAAACTGCTTACATTTACTTTTTCCTTTTTACAGGTATTGTGCTAAGGAAAGGATTCACTGCAGCTACAAGGTCATCTGTGAGAAAGAAACTTGGCCTGGTTCTAAAGAAGGCCAGAGCAAATAAAGAAAACAAGGCCAGAGCAAATAAAGAAAACAAGGCCAGAGCAAATAAAGAAAACAAGGCCAGAGCAAATAAAGAAAACAAGGCCAGAGCAAATAAAGAAAACAAGGCCAGAGCAAATAAAGAAAACAAGGCCAGAGCAAATAAAGAAAACAAGGCCAGAGCAAATAAAGAAAACAAGGCCAGAGCAAATAAAGAAAACAAGGCCAGAGCAAATAAAGAAAACAAGGCCAAATGCAGAGGACAAGAACAGAGAAAGCTATGAGAAACATTTTATTGTCCATGTTTTTTTTTATCAAAAAAGACAATGTTTTTTCAGTTCAGGACAGTCATAGCAACAAAGAAAAGACTTTATGTAACATATATTTTGGATAATTCATTTTTACTGTATAGAATTTCAAATAAATTTGTTCAGGGTATTGCTGGCAAAAAAAAAAGCACTATTCTTGTTTTTGTTGGGCATGTGGATGCTACAAACAAAAAGCCTGTTAAGATTCATGGTAGATTACAGGCTTGGTCTTGTTTGATACATCTAATAAATTAGTTGCAAGTAAAAGTTATTATAGTCATTAGTCAGAGTGAATCATCATGAAATAAACACCTGAAAAAGCTGGACTAAATGCTGAAAAAAAATTTAAAATCTAGAAAATGCTAGAAAAAGCTGGAAATTGATACATTATCTATATCACCGCTTCTTTAAGGAGCATGAAAGAATTTTCTAGAAAACTCTAGAAATCTACATTTTGTAATAGAAGAACAATGTCAATAAGTGCATAAAACACAAAAGATGACGGCAATCCCATAGTTTCATAACAAGGGAGATAAAGAAGACTTAATTGAACACAATTCTGCTTGTAGCCGACGACAGAAGCGAAGCAACATTTCGACGACAACTACGAGTTTCGCAAATGAAGACACTATGAAGCGAGGATATATTTTGCGCACAAAATCGTTTTATTTAACGTAGTAAGGAAAAAGGTGAGCTAAATTTAAAAAAAGGATAAAGGAAAACCGCTTGAAAACGAACTCTAACAAAAACTAATAGCCAAGTGGGAAAAACGTGTAGCGTTCTAACGAAGCGTGAACAACGTAAGCCACGTGTTACAAGGTTGCGAAAACGAGCGATAAGGAAAATTGTGTAAAAACTAGGCGAAACTACCAAAATACTAGATATTTAGACAAGCACAAAGAAAAGGAACAAAGGCACTTGCATAACAGTCCCGCTTGTAAGAGTTTAACCAAAACGAACTTCAAGATAAGGTGGGCAAAAAAACGCTCTTCCGGTAAACACGTCTTATCATTAGCCCAAAGCAAGACAACCAACTAAAATGCAGTTCCGGGTGGAACTTAAAAGATCACGTCCCTAACGGACAAACAGTAACATCATTGTTGCGGTTTAACACGAATCAAAGTTAAAGCGAATCAATGTCCGGTGGCAAAGGCGTGGCAGCCGTTACACTGCAGTTGAAGCAAATACTTCTTTCGAAGCTGATTTTCATCTTCCCAGGTAAAAATCAGCCTCTCGTTCCAAAGATGGAATGTCACCATGTAACCATCATCACACGGGGAATCGTACGATAATATTCCATCTTCCTATTCGTCTTGTTTTCTGCTGTTTCCTTGCTGCTCCTCGAAGTCAGAGCGTTCGAGGCTGACCGGTTCGCCTGGCTAAATTTCTCTCTGATAGAGGTACAAAGGGGGAGTTCCAGCTATTGCCACCGTTGTTTCCCGTCTCAAGTAAAGGATACCAAGAATTTGGATTTGTAAAATAGTACACCGCCCAACGGGTTGTCCCCTTTAAGCCATCTTTTGCTGCATTTGCAAAGTTTCTTGGGTAATCTAACACCGTGGGGGTTTTCGAGGCCGTTAAGCATTTCAACTGACGCAGCAGTCTTAGATGCCTTGTTACCCTTTGGACCATTGAGGATTTTTGGTTAATTGGCAACTTCGCTTCTGATATAATTTTCATTGCCACACAATGACTCAAAGAGTGTCGCTGAACAGCCCGACCGCCTCCTGAATGCTAAAGAGCCTGTTCGCCTGGTGCTTTTCGTGGGCTGAGAAGATCAATTTCTTCATAAATTCTCGTCGACGGACATCCCGGTTCTCGGTTCGTTTAAGTGATTATTTCCCGAATCCCGCTCCTCAAAAACGCCGATTCCCGAGTCCCGTTCATGATAGCAATCCCGCATCTCGCTCCCCTCTTATTTTAAATTCCCGGATCCAGGCCTTTAAATAAGCCCAGTCCCGGACCCTCAAGCATCAGCAATTGCTTGGACTCTATCTGCGAACAAAGGCTCTTTTGGCTGCACTGGACGAGCCAGCTTCCTTTTCGCTGCTTCGACAGATGATTTCACGAGTGGACGACCAGTGGGGCAAGATTCCATCCCGGCCATAGTATGACCCTCCATAGAGCGTAAGTTCAATGGGTGACACACCCATAAATTTTTCCACACAAATGTTCGTAAGTTCATTGATAAACAAGGCGATATACAAAGGCTTGGCCAGATTTACAGGTTTACCATTCTTCGAAGAAGCCCACT